AAATAAAACCCAATTAGTTAATTTTAAATTAATTTTAAATTTCAAAACTAAAAGAATCTACACGGAAGGCCTTTTTTGATCATTTATGCAAATCAAGGCTTTGGATTAACATTATTTCACAAGATTAGCATGGTACATTGAATATTCGAACATTAATTCCATAGATTAATGTTTCCAGATGATCATTTCATAAAAAAATGTCGCCGGACGTTCGTTTGGTAAAAAAAGCATCACCAGACGTTCATTTCGCGAAAAAAGCGTCACCAGACATTCATTTCACGAAAAAAAACGTTTCCGAACACTCAATTCGCGGAAAAAATGTCACCAAACGTTCATTTCGCGAAAAAAGCATCTCTGGACGTTCAATTCGCGAAAAAAACAATACCAGACATTCAATTCACGGAAAAAGCGTCTCCGAACGTTCAATTCGCGAAAAAAACATCACCAGACGTTCAATTCGCGGAAAAAATGTCACCAGACGTTCATTTCGCGAAAAGAACGTCCCAGACGTTTATTTCATGGAAAAAATGTCACCAGACGTTCAATTCGCAGAAAAAACGTCACCAGACGTTCATTTTGTGGAAGAAAACATCACTGAACATTCGTTTCGTGAAAACACGTCACCAGACGTTCATTTCGCGGAAAAAAACATCACCAGACGTTCGTTTCGTGGAAAAAAATGTCACCAGACGTTTATTTCGCGGAAAAAACATCTCCGGACACTCATTTCGGAAAACGTTAGTTCTAAATAAAAATTATCTAAATAAAAATTAAAATGATTGTTAATTTTTTTATTTTAACGGCTTTTTATTATTGCATTTTAAAATAAATAAACAATATAATGCAGATCGGACTATAATGGGTTAATTCTATTTTTAATTCTGCAGACTGTCGATCTGTTTACATGTGATCAAAATTTCAAACTCAATTATCTCAAAATCACGTTTTTCGGAGTTTCTGATTTTTCTACTGCAAAGGCTCCATATAACGAATTTTTTTCTATTTAAAGCTTTTAATTGTTTTTTATTTTATTGTTACTGCTGCTGATGCTAATGCTGATGATGGTGATAATGATAGTGGGGGAGTTGCTGTTTCTGACTATCCTTTACAAACCTGAATTCTTTTACATATTTCAGTAATAATTCATTTAATTTATTTTTAAAAGAAGAAAATGAATTTTTATTCTTCTTTTTGATATTTTTTGTATAAGAGTAAGAAATATGCGTTGAAAGTTTGTTAGAAAATATCATGAACTACCTGACAAGTTTCTTGAATATATTTATTATATTCAAGTAAAACTATTTTATGTAGCTTATATTTATGCAATTGATCTTTGAGTATGATTAACATTGATTGTAAAAATTGAGACGATATAATTTCTTCAATATATTCTGCAATTTTTTGATTAAGTCTTCCAAATTTTCTGTTACTGCTGATGATAGTTTTGATAATGGTAATTGTGCTGCTGCTGCTGTTAATTCTATGATTTTTTCTTCTAAATTCTTAATCTTAAAACTAAAATTTTTGAAATTCTTTAAAACGTTTAAATTGATAACTCCATCAATATCATTTGGTATTGGTGAAATAAGATCTGCTTTACTTCTAATACAATTATTTATTGATGCTGATTTATAATTTTAAAAATCTTTATTAGATAAATGTCACATATCTCCTTATATAAATAGATTCCTACGCAACCTTCTTGATTCTTTAATTAAATTTTTAGACAAAGTATTCTAATTATTAAAGATGTTAATTATTAGTTAAATATATTTTATCATTTGATATTATATCATAAAATATTTTTAAAAAATCTATTATGTTTTTGAATAATAATGTTTGACTATAAATAATTTGGACTTCACATTATATTCTCTACACTGAGAAAACATAGGATACAAAATCTATGTATTTTCCCATAAATAGATTATTTTAAAAAATGAAAAAAAAAAAATAATAAAAAAAAAATAAAAAAATCTATTATGTTTTTGAATAATAATGCTTATCTATAAATAATTTAGACTTCACAATATATTCTTTATACTAAGAAAATATAGGATACAAAACTCTATGTAATTTCTCATAAATAGATTATTTTAAAAAATGAAAAAAAAATAATAAATAAAATAAAAAAAATATATATATACCCTGAAAGTTTGATTAAAGGTTCTTATTACTCTCCTATTTACTTGCTTCTCCCTATTATTTTTTGGAATTACTATTGAGATGCTCGATTTAAACAATTCATAATTTATTTGAATTTATTTAAAAGAATAAAAAAGAATAAAATATCATTTAAAAGATAACTTTTAACGAAATTAAGCAGCCAATAAAAAAAAGTAAATTAAAGAATATAAAAAAATAAAATAATAATTATTGTGATATTTAAATTTAAAAAAAGATTATCATTAAAAAAAGATATAATAGAAGATTAGGTTCCTATTTGTGTAATTAGCAATTTTTTAAACTAAAAGGGTTTAAAATATGATAATCAGGAAATTACAGTCAACTCTTTTTATAACAAATTTTAATATAACGAATTTTACAATACAATGGATTTTCAGTGTCAAACAGATTTTCAAATATAAAAAAACCCTTACCATACCAAATTTAGTAATTAAAAATTTGTATTACATTTAACGAATTAAAGTCAGAAATATTTATATATAAAATGACTCTTTTTATAACGAATTTTCTCTATAATGAATTTTTTTTTGATATAACAAAGTTTTGCTTAAATGAATTTTACTAGATTTATATATATAAAATTTTGTAGTCTCTATACCTAGTTTTTAAATAAAATTAAAAAATGAATAAAATATTCGCATTACACATTGTGTCTTGTAAATTGATTACTATAATAGAATAGTAATTTGAGAGGTTACACAATAATGTTTACAGTTTTTTTTTATTTTTTACAGAATAAAATGATATTATAATCACAAGAAATTTTGATATATTGACTAAATAACACTTTCGTGATTATGTTAAAATTTTGTTGAAATTTTGTTAAAATTGTGTCGAGAAATTACATTGTTTTTTATTAATTTTTAACCAATTTTTGTTGAACTTGTGTTGAAATTGCTTATTGATTTTTTTGCGAATAATTTTATAATGATTTTTTATTTATCACTGAGGTGATGATTAGTTATTGTTGATTTACTCTGATTATCTGATATATTATATTTATTAATTTGCATAAGTTATTTTTGAATTTATCTAATTTTTATAAATAATACAATGTATTATTATTTTGACTTTTGTTTTTATACAAATCAGAATTTTTGATCACAAAGAGTTCTTTTTGTATTATTTCAATCATAAGTTTTGCTTATTATATTTAGATTAATCTAATTTTATAAATAATACGATGCATAATTATAATATAATGCTTATATTATTATTTTGACTTTTTGTTTTAATACAAATTAGAATTTCAATCAAGATTGTATTATTTCAATTATAAGTAAAGAATTTTACAAGATATCAAATCAAATAGATAAATTTATTTATAAAGAGAAGTATTTTTTATTATCGTATAATTTTTTACCTTTTGAAATTTAAATTAACCTTTAAATTATTTTAATTTATTCCATTAAATCATATTTTTTTACAAATATAAAAATGATTATAAGAATCATTTGAGAAGATAATGAAATCAACTTATTAGTCGAGAAAAGAAGGAGGAGAAACGAAGAGTACTATATAAGATACAGAGGTAATAAGACAAGATTCTAGCTTGACAAATCAATTGAAGATTTGATATAGCATATTCAACTTGCCAATGTGAGTTAAAATAGAAGAATTTAGTATGGGATTATAACGTAAGTAAATAAATAAATAACAATATAATAATAAATATAATTTAACAATATAATTAATATCTTTAAGATTTTTACGATTATCAAAATAGAGCGAGAAGAGGTAAGAGGTGGACCTATACTATGGAAAATTATATGACCTCTTCAGGACTTGATTTTGAGATAGGCTAGGTAATAATTAAAAAAGTTTAAATGATTTTTTAGATTTATATTAAATATATTTACTTTTTTAGAATCAAGGCATACTCATAGTAAAAATTGTAATTTACCTACTACGAGATAAATACAAAATACAAGGCAAAACTGAAATAGATAGTAAAATTGCGATGTACCTACAAGGCAATAAAAATTTCAGTTTTTTTTCTTATCGTTTGTTTAATTTCGTTTTATTTTTCTAATTTCATTTTTTCGTCTCATCTCGTTCACTTAATTTTATTTTATTGTTTTGTTTTAGTTTCTTAATTTCATTTTTTCGTCTCGTTTAATTTTCTTTTCATTTTATTTTTATTTTTTCTTTTATTTTATTTTATTTTTATTTTTATTTTTTTTAAAAAAAAATTTAAGTAAATTAATAAACTGTCGTACAATAATTAACAGATTGTATGTTAAAATAAAATGACTAGAATTTACAAAATAATGTGAAAATATTTCTGGAAAAATTATATTATAGTAAAATTATATTTGTGTAATGAAATCAGTAATCATCTACTATAACGAATAATTTGTTATATATACTGAATAATTCATTATAGTATTAATGAAGATTCTTATAACAAAGTTCTGATCAGTTGGATCGGCAATTTCATTATATCAAGATGTGACTGTATTATCATTTGTAATAAAATGTATAAATTTTTATATGTTGCAAAATTATCAATGAATCAAAGATTTAGAAACAATTTGACATCTTCTAAATTGATTTATTTTGAACTAAATTATTATATCATCTTCTGAATTCTTATTGAATAGCTTTTTAAATTCTAATGAATATAAATCACCATATAGTATTCAACTATCAAATCAAGCATTTTATGTAAAATAATTATATTATCAGATGATAGTTTAAGGAATTTGCTGAGAAATGTTTCATTACCAGTAATATTTGATTCCTTAATATTTTGTAAATTTATCTAAAATCAGTAAATTTTGTCAGAAGAAAATTCATCTGTATCTGAAAAAAAAACTAATTGAAAACTGATTGTCTAGCAATTCAAGCACTTTTACCTTAATACCACTGAAACTTATAATACTATCAATTTAAATATCAAATATTAATCAATGCATTAGCTCAGGCTCAAATTTCTATTACTATTAGTAGTCACTGGTCATTTCCAGCGCAGTGCCAATCACTAATTAAATTTTTATATTACGTAAATTAGCCTATGATGCATTTCATCTATACTCAAAAATAAAATTATGTGACTAAAAATTTTAATGACTTTTTAATTATATGATGTATAAAAAAACAAACCCAATAAAATAGAAGTTTAGACCATAAACTACAAATCTATCAGCTTACTTTTTGAGTTTTATTATAAAATTTCACAGTTATTAATGTTTAAAATTAGGGCATTTATATAAAAATTATACAATTTTGGACTGATTGATTTTTGCAATTTACGGTATATTAGTGTGATTTAAGTGTGATTTTACGGTATTTTTAATATTACACAAACACACAATGATCGTTCAAATCATTGTTCCATTTCATGCCTCTCACCTCTAAGAAAAAACACATTCACAAAAACCAGCAACGTGAAACAAATGGAAGGTTTAGAACTTCCAAAAAATTTAAAGAAACCCATCAAATATATGAAAATTTTGAAGATTTTGGAGTTGAGGAAGTTGAGGAAGACCTTGGAGT